CTGTTGCGATTCTCAATTATCTCTCAATCGGTCATATGTGATACTAATGCATTAAAAATATCTAATCAATCCGATCTAGCAAAAAGCTTAAATATTGCAAATTAAATATTACATAGAATTTTTTCTAATACATGGTTTATAATTTCACTCTACTATAAATAATTTAAACATAAATACTACACTTAATCTTGATTGTAATGAACTTATCTAAAATACCCAACCAAGTAACCTTTGAACCCTATTTCTTGTTTCCTTACGTTCATTTTGTGCATAATAATTATATTCATGTTCTTCGATTTCCTTAATCCCAGTTGTCAAATCTGCTTCACTCGGTTTAATAAATTTCGTTTTCTTCCAAAATTTCCAAAAGAGGAAGATGGCAATATTAATAAATATTAACGCATATGAAAATAAAAAGTCATCAACTGACCACTTACCAGGGATAAAAACACTGTATCCCAAGATAATAACCACTATCCATATAAATAGAGCTGCGACGTAAATGGAATAAGGCTGGCCCCAAGAAGTATATGGTAAGGAGTTTCTATCGATGTTTTGTGATTTGCATGCTCTGTAGAAGCCAATATAAGTGATTGTCATAAACCCATAGTTTAATAACAGACAGCCTGTGCATAAGTTAACCATGTAACTCAATGCCTTTGCACTTTTTGTTCCTAATTGCATTAAACTTAATAAAGAAAAGCAAATAGCTACCAAAACACAATAAATAGGCACTCCATGTTTGTTACATTTTCTAAATACCTTTGGAGCATACCCACCCTTAGCTAAACCATACAATACCCTGCTTGCACAAAATGTATAGGAATTTCCCGCAGAGAAAGCAGAACTAATTATAAGAACATTGACAATGTCTGGCAATGCTTTGATTCCCAAGTTTTCCATTGCTATTACATATGGAGAAGCAGCAGCATTAGAAGTTTCGGCATTCATTTTGACAAAAAGTGGATCATCATAAGCAACTAAAATTGATACACATAAAGCACCACTGATATAAAATAATGCTAACCTAAACAACACAGTCTTGAAGGCTAATGGCATCACTTTCCTTGGATTTTCAGCTTCTGCAGCGACCATTGATATATACTCAACACCCAATATAACAAAGCAAGCCAGACCTAACAATGCACCCAAAAATCCCTCGAATTTACCCACGCTGCCAGTACCTATATATTCAGCCATAGGGCCTCCTGAAACATTCCAATTTCTGAACCCAAAGGCATCATGTTTGGGATTGCCACCACACATGGTAATGAGGGTGAAGAATAATAACCCAATGCACAATATTAATTTTCCCATTGATAACCAGAATTCAATTTCCCCAAAGAGCTTTACAGCAAAGATATTAATCAAAGCATAGATCAAGATTTGGATACAAAGCGTTATTGCAGGACTGTAATCATCCCTCCAGAAATGAATCATTCCATTAACAGCAGTTATTTCAAACGGAATAAACAATGCATTTAAAATGAAGAAATTCCAACCAGCACAACATTCTAGTGCCTCATCCACGCATCTACCTGCCATTGAAATAAATGGAGATGAAACCGGTAAATAACAGACAAACTCACCAACAGCAGAAGTTAATAACATAACAATAATTGTCCAGAAAGTGTAAGCCAAAAGAATTCCTAGAGGACCCCCTCTTATAAGACCTGAACCAATTGTGACAAATAATCCAGTTCCAATTGCACCTCCAATTGATATTAACTGTACGTGTCGACTTTTTAACTTTCTATGTACGTTTCCAAATTCTGAGCTATCCTTTGATACCAGACCAACAGAACTGCTCGATACCGGAGAAGTTTGAACTTCAAAGACTTCGTTCTTCATCTTCGTATTAATATATATATTTCTTAGTTAACCAGCACTTAGTTTCCCCCAGTATCAGCTTAGGTCTTCTATTCGATGATCAAAAGAGGTAGATCATGACCTACTATTATACTAATTGCAGACACTTCTTATATATTGATAAATCCTTCTTATCATACAAAATTCTTATCAATGACTTCTTATCCAGAAAGATATTTTTTAAGATAGCTAATCTTGATCCAAGAAATAATGAAAAATATAATGACAGCTGCGAAAATTCGATTGTACTGCCGACAAGAGCGACGATCTTTCGGAACTGCCTAAAAAGGATAGAACTGAAATCTGGATAAGCGCGGAGTCAAAGTCAACCGATTAACAGATGCTTAATAAAGGAAGTTTCAGCCTTGATAAAATAAGATTAATAGTTAGTCTAACTTTAAGATTTGATTATGCTTTTAATTTTGTTTAATATTTTAACGAATGTTGCAGCGGTTTCGATTTTTCCTCAGGCTAACTTTCAAATTGGGGATTTATTAGTGCATGATGACCCCAGTATATTAGAATCTGATACGAATGTTATCACAGAACTGATGCTACTGTCTTATGAAAATAAGAATTATAACTTTCTCGATAAATACTTTGGAGATGTGTACTTTGGAGAGTATAAAGACTTAGAAAATGAAATTGGAAAGCAAGAGACGTCTTTTTGGGCCAGTAAAGAGGTCGCATATCCAGATAAGGATGATATCTCGGATATAGTTTCTGGCAGAAGCGATAGATACGTCAGTAACCCTTTAAGTGGATTTTTAAGTTTTGCCCACTTGCCATTGACAAATTGTTTCGCAGAAGATGCAAAGTTTGATATTGGTATTGTCGGAGCTACTTTTGATACGGGTGTAAGTTTTCGTCCTGGGTCTCGTTTTGGACCACAAGGTATTCGAATGGCAACTAAAAGGATGTCTTCTGGAAGTATTTCGCCGTTTAGGAAGAATTACAACCTTTTTAAGAGAGGAAAGATTGTTGACTGTGGCGATCCACCTATGACTCCAATAGATAATAGGGTTGCTTTGGATCAACTTTACAGAGCAGAAAGAGCTATATTGAAATCTGATCCTGCCACCTCTGATCTTTCGAAATTCTCGAGAATTTTGACTTTAGGAGGTGACCATACAATAACATTAAGTTGCTTGAGAGCAGTATACGAAAAGTGGGGAAAGGTGGCTGTTATCCACTTCGATAGTCACTTGGATACAATTGACCCATATCAAATGAATGAAAATGTTACTGAGTACGCTGCTTTGAATCACGGTACTTTTTTCCATTGGGCGGCAAAGAGAGGCTTGATTTCTGAAGACAAAAACCTTCACGTTGGTCTT